CCCTCTTTTCTTCCAGGAATTTTCTTCCCCCCCAAATCAGCAGTGCTTTGGAATTTGATCTTTGGATGGTAATCTGTGTCCATCAGGGTTCACGCCTCTCTTTGTGTGCAGATAAAATTTGTCTCTGGACACATTTTTGTTGCTGGTTAAAGTTCATCGTTCAGGCAAGTTGATGATGGGTACCCACTGGTCCATGCAGCGGCTCTCTCTGCAGAATCTGCAGACAGCAACTCTTTGGGGAAAGGTTGCCTTCTTTAAGGTGAGATGAGCCCTCTTGTTCATAAAATTTCCAGAGTATTTTCATTTATTTAATATCAATATCTGGTGTTCCTGTATGCAAGATATTGCAATACCATACTGTATATATTTTTCCTCCACCCCTACTGCCAATGCAAAGTGAAAGTATCCCTAGGAAGAAACGCAAATCAGTCATGGATTGGTCTCCCCAGAGCCCGGACCTCAAAATCATTGAAGCAGTGTGGGATCATCTAGACAGCCAACATCCAAAGAAGAGCTCTGAATCCTGGAGAACTATTCCTAAAGACTACTTCAAGAACTTACAAGAAAGCAGCTCAAGAGAGTCAAGGCTGTGCTGAAGAATAATTTACATTTGATGATGATCAAGTATTTTACGCTAATTGACACAATTGACGCACATGGATTTAGCGCGTGGTTCACCGCTTTCTTTTTTTCCACATGAACACATTTCTTTAGTTTAAATGCAGCTCAAAAAACACGATTTGGAGACTGTCTGGTTCAAATTTCCGTTTTGTTTTTTGTTTGTTTCTTTTTTTCGTCTCCGAGTCTATTCGGTGACCCCCTCACTGATGGTTCGGACGTTTCCGCTCACGTTCGTCACTTTCCGCGCACTCTTATATAGTTCCCACGCGCCCTCCTTCCCTGCACCGTGCTGAGCTGGAAAATGGCTGTGTGTTGGAGCAGGGAGTTATGAACGGGAAAAGAAAGAAAGAGCGAAAAGAAAGACGCGGAATTAAGAAGTGAACTAAAGGCTTGCTGGAAGTTTAGAGCTCACAGAGAAGCCGTCGTCTGCAGACAAGCCACCACTCGGAATCTTGTGTGCGACTTTTGCTCCGAACCCAAAAGTGCGAAGAGTCAAGAAATATCCGCGGTGAGTTTTTCCAAGTTATTGCACATTTCCAGTACGGCAGCCACTGTACTGGAAAATGGTGGAAGCGCTGCAAGTGTGCTCCGCAGCTTCACGTTGGTGACTTGTGTCCTACTTTTAAAGTTTAAAGGAGACCTACCTTTTTTGTCGCGCTCGTGTGCGTTTCTGTGCTCTTTACGGTGAAATGTTAACTTTAATTCGCCCTCGCGCCGCACTGCTCGGTGCTCACGCTCGCGCTCGCTGACGTACAAATGCCGAGCAAGTTTTTTAAGCTGCTTCAAAGTTTAAACCATTGCCCCTGGCTTATTTGTTGACGTGAAAACGATTAAAAATGACTTGTCAAGTTTGCCAGCATTAGTGCTAAAATATTCTGTAATGTCAGTGTCTCATTAGTACTGTTTAGTTGTATTTTAACGCTACTAAAAAGACCCATTTGCAATATATTTGCAGTGTACTCCCTGTGTATACCATTGCTAGTATGTGTTACTAGTGTCTTTACCTTGGCTGCAGACTATGGGAGGCCTAAAGTAGCTGAAGGCCTGACTAGATGCGTCTCTTACATCCCTGGTTTAAGGATTTGGCATCCATCGAGGAGTTAATGGAAATTGTCCCACTTGCATAATGAGACAAGCCACTCAACTGTGCTGAGACCCCGCACCCCCCTGTCTTGTAATTATGAATCGAGCATTATGCAACCAAATGTCAGTCCTCCATTATATGCTTTATCGGTGTGATGCATGACTTGTGGCAAAGCTTTCATTCTTCTCTCAAATGTCTTGAAATGCTCTGAGTGACTGGCAGGGCTGTTGTATTTAAATGCCCCCCCACATACACACACACACACACAAAATAAAAAGAGAGGAAATAATGGTGCTTCTTGAAATGCCGAGTGACACCTCTCAGAGGGGGTGAAGAAAACCTAAACTAGCCTCAAGTTCCAGCAGAGGCACTAAAGCTGTGGTTATTTTTTGTTTGATGTCGAAGTTAAACTGAAATGGTCCTGTTTGATCAAAATAGCAGCAGAGTTCGTCTTTAAGGACAGTTTAGTCATGTCTCGCCTGGAAATACTGCATATTCTGTGCTTTGTGGGGTTGTGATTTTTTTCTAACTTCCCAGAGACAATCATGAGTCTACTTAAAGTCCTAATCGATTACCCTCCCGACCACAACACACTGGACACAAATCTTATTGGTCACTTGCAATTATCTGGTACTTGTCCTTTTCTTTTTCCTGCAATCCAGGAATAACTTGCATTATTAAAACGTCTTTATTGTATCAGATTAAACAGATTCCTTTTAGAATTTGATTAGATTTGTTGTCATAAATGTGATATAGATGTAGACTGCCGTATGCTACCTGCATATTACCAATTTTTGGTCAAATGTAGTTGGTTATGAAAGGGTTTGGGAGATTTTTATTTTTTTTTCTTTGAGGAGTTGAGGAGGAGATAAAGGCACACATTATCTTGTTTGTGTCTGGTGTTTTCAAGTGATGCAGACTTTGCAGGTTTATCAGATTTGATTTCTTTGGTGAAGTGGAAATGTTTAAATCCATAATCTTGACCAGATGGATTGAAGTTATCGCTTCTGATAAATAGACCGAGTCCTCTTTAACTTTAAAGCCTTGCAGCATAGTTGACTTTCCTGAACAGTGCAGTCTTGGTGCTAAATAATCTAGCAGATGTTTCTATTTAGCAAAGTGAGCTTTTCGGCTTCATTTGCGACAGATAGAATTCAGGTGAACGAAACTGGAATCATAAAATTCGTAAGAACCAATTTTAGTCTGGAAAGTTAGTCTTTGCAGGCTCCAGTGTTTTTGGCCCGCCCTATCTGCCTGTGGCGCAGCAGATTTTTCAGATCCATGTGGACAGATGGCCTGCGGCCAGACTGCATGCATGGTGGTTCTGTAGTCAGTACTTCCCCAGCAGGGCCGTGCCCGTGAAGTACCAAAACATGCACAACAAATACACTGTTTGTGCCTACATAAATGTCTGAACTTTTGGTTGCATTGTTGTGATTATGAAAGTTTTAAAGAGAAGAAATGATAGTAATGCTTATGAATAAAAAAAAAAATCCCAGAACTTTGTCTGTGGAACAGGGAGTGATCTGTAATGTGACGTGTTAATCTTTTGTTTTGTTTTTTTAAGCTTAGGCTGCATTCCTAAAATCCTAAACTCCTCAGCTGTTTTTAAAAAATTATTATTTGGTCAGACAGGTTTCTCTTGCCACTTTCAGATGCACTAGTAACTACTTTCTTTCTGGCCTACATGGATGTAATCAGTGTTTCCTTATTTTGGTGACATGGAGATGTGAGGGATCTTGCCAGTTAGCAACTGTTTGTTCACGCACAATCTCTCTAGTAGTTTTAGATGTGTTGTCAATTTTTGAGGAGCTTTTATTGCACTGCTCATTAAATTTCCTTTTTGTTTTCATTCTCTCAAGAAGATTAATACTGCAAAAAATCATAATCAGCAACATGGTGTTATACATCTGGTGTAACAGCTTAAAATGTCACACTGCACCACTGCTTGAGGGGGACTAAACCAGCTAAGGGACATGGACATGTGCACAAATGTTCAAAAAGATGGACCTTCTCAAAGTTAAGCTTCTTGAATGTAATAAACTTTCTCAGACATGACCACTGAGCTGTTCAGGTGAAAGTAGTAAGCTAAAAATGGCATATGGCAATGTTAGCCTCTTGGGTCTGTTATTTACCACAACTAAAATAACCTGATTACCTATTACATATATTTATTTACTGTGTTAAATAAAAAAGTTCTTAATCATCATGAAATCATAATTTTTCTTCGCTATGACTGAAGTGATCAAAATTTGCATTTTGAGTGTAAAGAAGCTCCCCAGCATCTAGATCTACATAGAAACCAATCTACCAGTTACAAACAGTGTAATTACTAATGATCTAACAATTATTACATATATTTAAATCACCATCATGGATCGGTCCTAAGGGTAAATTGGCTACAGTGATACTCTACATGAACATTTCTATTTTAAATGTCATCCTCGAAATCACTTTCTCTTAATTGGCAAATTAGTCATCATGAACATCAAGTTTGTTTACTTTTGTTAAAACTGATGACCAAACCCAAAACAATGATCATAACATGAAAAAGATAAATATTTGTTCACATTTGAGTTTTAGCACATGCCTCTGCACTTGTATATAAACATTAGAAAAATTAGAAAAACAACCAGTAAATAAATAAAAGATTACATCTGTTTAAAATCCACTGATTCGGTTACACAAACCGATTTTACAAGTAATGATGATGTAAGATGTGTGGCATTTTGATCCTCGAGCAGTGTCAGTGATGCCTTTAATAGCTTATTTGGCATTTTATATACGCATGCTGGTGCAACAAACAGGTCAGCACTGTGCTGGCTGACTAAACACATCATTCATTTTCTTTAGAAAGCAGACTTCAGTTTGTAGGTCTCGATTTAATCACACCAATAATAAATGCAATATATAAAATGTCAGTTACCAAAAAAAAACCCACACAGTGAAAGACTAATAAATTATTAGTGACATGTTTTTAATAAGTATTTTATTTTGTATTATTTATTGTGTTTTTTTTTTAACTGTATCCCTCTCCCTGTGAACTCAGAAAAACAAACATCATCTCCTTTCATCCCATTGCACAGCTTCACTGTGACTCATGGAGTTTTCTCCAATCACACTTAGTCTGGAGTTTTTCCATGTTTTCTTTTACATCTTTCTCCCAGGGTAGCTGCACTTGATTTAAACCATCACTTCAATAAATATTACAAACAGTCATCACAGTTGCAAAGATGAAAAAAGTCAAAGGTGCTGGAAAAGGTGGAGTTGTTTAGGTCAGATGTTTTATCACTGCCTAGATACATTTTCTAATATTAGAACATTTCCTTGATTTGCCCGGTTTCTCTGGTGACTGGGGAGCACATGGCCAGAGCAGCAGCCAATCAGAGGCTGGGATTAGCTTTCCCTCTCTCTAGCAACAGTGAGTTACTCGCTGCCTATTCATTAATTATTTTCCTGTGGTCTTCCTCAGCCGTTTGGACTCTGCTGATAGCAAACTGCTCCGTCTCTCACTCTCTTTTCTCGCTGCTTTTTGCCGCTGTCTGCTCAGACTGAACGCAGAGTCTTAAAAAAAACGAATGGATCCACAGACACTGAGCTTTCCAGCTGCTGTGCTGAACTGTGAGCTACTACAACACTGCCAGAGTAGGACAGGAACAGAGATGACTCCTCTCTCACCTTGTGCGACTTTTTCTTCTCTGGAACTAAATACTAAAAAAGGACTGGTGAATAAGAGCGCTCTCCCTTTTCCTCTGCCTCCTTTTCTTCTTGTTTTTGCTGCTTTACTGCAGCCGGACTCGGACTATAAAGAACTAAATTATTACAGCAACTGGAAAAACGGCTGGACTTTTTCGCTGGCTGAGGATCGGGAGGGGGGGTCAGTTGGAGGCAGGACTCTGTGTGTTTGGGGGGGAGTGGAGAGCAGGTGGAGAGAAGAGGGAGGGAGTTTAGGGTTGGGGGTGGGGGGGTAATGGTGGTGTGAGGATTGCGGGCTGTGGTTGGGTATGCCAGTGCCACGTGTCTAGCCTGGCACCTCTTGCTTCTCGACTCGAAGGATGTTGGACCGAGAGTCTGGCTGAGCCTGTCCGGCTTCCCTCTGAACCTAAAGTGGGGTGAGTTTTGCACTGTGCAGCGTTCTGTTATCACAGTAACTCTTGAACCTTTTTTATTAAAGACAACGTCCTTATTCACAAAGCTTTGCAGTGAATGTGCGTTCGCTTTCGGAATGTCGAGGGGGGTGGAGAGGATAATCTAGACTAAGGTTCAAAAGCATGCACTTTGGCATTCACGGCTGCAAACTGGACGTTTCGGTGAATTTTTTATGCTTTTACTCAACTGTATTTAAGCGTCTGCAGTACATTATTCAAAATACTGTCCATTTATGGACATTTATGAAACGCTGGTACAGCGTCGGGCCTCGCAAACCAGGCCTGTGGTTATTGAGATTTGGACATTTTGGAAAATTGCCCCAAATGCCTTGTTACTGCCATACCACGATGAAACTTCTATCAGTCATTGTGCCACTTTCACCTTCACTCTCCACCTGCTTCTTTTCCTCTTTGACATCACGTCCAGGGAGGTTAGTAGGACCATTGTCCTTGATTGGTCCACAGACCACAGATGTCGTACTTAATCTGGAAACCATAATCTCTCTTTCTCGCCCACCCCGTCTCATTTCCCAGCATAGTTGCAGTTTAGCATTTAGCATTTTTAAATTTCAGCCGCTCGAAACTCGGCCAAAATTGCCCATTAATTTTTCCACGATTTACTGTGGATTTTATAATCAAGTGTTTCCAACATGTACTCCCAAAAAATGTAGATTTTTAATTTTTGGTCGATTGACCGACAGATTTCATTTATTTACTTTAGTCAAACCTTTAATACTGATAATATTTAGCATTTTCAGACTGTTGTGTCGCTTTTATAGGATATATATTGCGCACTTGCGCTTGGCATTTAATTGGGCCTTGCAATCGGCTTTATCAGAGGACGTTCGTTACATTTCCATGGACTGACCTTTTTGCTATATGTGGAAGCTATGAGATAAGTGACTTCAAGGGGTGTAATATGAATGGTGATGGTTCACTGTGGTTTCTCAGTTGGCTGTCCATTCAACGTTCCCATCTGAAGCAGGCTTGGTACAGTAAATTTGACAGAAGTCAAAATATTTCTTAGGCAACACAGAGCTACCTTTTTTCTCTCTGATGGAGAGTGAACTGTTGCAGAGGGTTCTGCACGCCTTAGAAAATTCTGGTCGCCCTACAGTCGAGGTGCAGTCCTTATTTTCCTTTGCATGCCACTTCAGCTAAAACCCCTTTTTTGCGGTTCTGTTAATCGTACGTGCTGTTGTGTGAGTTGAAGAGACGTTCATTTCACAGGAAAACTTATTGTTCCTGTGGAAACTGTGACGAGTCAGTTAAGGCTGTGAGTGTGTGAATGTAGAGTGGAGGGAATGGAGGCTCCTGTCCAGGGACCCAGTCTGCTGTTGGTTATGACGCAGCAGCATCATCCGAGCTCTCTGTTCTAACCGAAGACTGCACAAATGCATGGAGCTGTCGCAGTTCGCCATTTTCATGCGCCGCTTTAGGCTTCGTTTCACATAGATATAAGTCGCGTTAATTATTGCCATTTATCGAATAGATTTGACCTTTAATCCTTTGTTTTTTTAAAATAGTTTTATTTACTTTAATTTTTTCGACTAAATTTTAAGTCTTTTTCCAAATTGTTTTCTTAATTTATGCACTTTTTATTTCCTACAGGGCGGTCATTATTCCTGCCCCAAACATGTGGGATATCTGAAAGAGCCAGAGAGGATTAGAGACCTTCCCACCCTGGCACTCGTCCGCCAATCGGGCCACTTGATTTAACCGCGGAGAGCCAACGACACGGGGCCTGTCACTGGGAAAACCCTTTTCCAGGCTGTTCCAGTAGCACCCAGCCAGCAGGTTTTTGCTGCTTGAAAAAGCATGTTGCCAACGATCTCCCTCTGTTCCATCATCTGGCTCAACCGGGGTATCAAGCTGAGGAAAGTGCACCAGTCCACCAACACCGGTCAGGTGTAAAGCTGCTGCCACTGCAGACACAAAAGCAGCAGAGCTCCTCGTTATTAACTTTTAAAAATGCTGCTGAGCTTCGGCTGACTTCCCCTCCTTTCATCCCCCCCGACCCCCTAAGCCACTGTACCAACACCAGACTCGAGTAACTCAGCCACAATTTTGGTTTCAGAGGTGGATTTCTGTCTAGCCTAACCCTGTTGTTACAGCGGGACTCAGGCCGATCCTAAATCCTCGAAGCGGTGGCCATTTTACTTTTTGCCTCTGTCACAAAATGGCGGCGGAAGGTTTCCAGTACCGTGCCCTCTACACGTTCACCAAGGACCAGGACGAGGACTTGGATCTGCAGCCTGGAGACCTTCTTACAGTCAGCAAGGCCTCTCTGATGTCCATGGAGAACTACCAAGAGGGCTGCGTGGAGCACCCCGAGCGTCTGGGCTGGCTCCTCGGGTACAACGAGCGCACTAAGCAGAGAGGCGACTTCCCAGGGACGTATGTTGAGTATGTGGGCCCCATCAAGATGGCACTCCCATCGAGTCAGCCAAGGTCCCAGCGACCCCTGCCTGCAGCTCCCAAACCAGAGTCAACTCAAGGTAGGGGGCACTATTTAGATCATTTTCTTTTTTTCTGTTTTTTTGTTTGTTTTTAGCAGCCAGTGGTGAGACGCTCACGGCACATCACTACTGTAAACTAAAGGTGGCCTTTAAAGTAAAAAAGATAACATAATAACAATGAGAAAAGAGTGAGATATCATTAAATTTTACTTTGTGGCATTTTTTAAATATCAGAATAATTTAACTTGCACATATGGGGATGTGAGCGACTAGTCGGGTAGGCATTTAATCATTACGTGCCAGACATGCTAGCTGACTAAATAAATTATTCTTATTTTATTAGTGTACAGCAGCCACTGTTTCAAAGATGTTACAATGCTGCTGACCTCCACCATGACAGTTATTGCTGCATCCTGCACGCTCTCTGAATAGAAGCTGTGAACGACTAAAGGTGGAATGACCCTAACGAGCGCTGTTCTGCTGTAGTTTGATGTAAAAACGAGTGGCTGCATGTTGGGCGCACAATTTGGCGACATTTAAAATATGATTTAATTAACGAGGAAATGATAAATGGTTTCATTAAGCTCCTAAAATATAGAATTTTTTGGGCCTGAATTTAAATGAGTCCATTTAAAGTAGTTTTAAGTGTTTTGCTGAGGGTTTTCTGCCTCTTAGTCAGCTAGTCTCATTTTTTCTTGTTTAAATGTCTAGACAATTAGTTAGTTGGTGTTAGTTTGTTAGTTGGCCTTGAATGTGCAGAAAATATTGATGCAGAAATTTGCTAAATAATAGTTTATTTTGCTCCCTTTTACCTTTTAAGATATGTTTGGTAATTTTGAGCTGCATTTGTTTTTTGAGGTGGGGAGCTTTTTGGTCTTTGTTTGATAAGACAGCGGGGAGAAGACAGGAAAACTGGGACAAAGACCAGGGGGGAGACACACAAACATGGTGCTCCTTCATTAGCCTCACAGTGTAGAGATTTTTTGATTTTTATTTTTTTGGGGGGGATTTTTTTCCTCAAGTTTTAAAAGAAAAACACAACTTCTCGCATGCCCAGCTGTTAGCAGCAGCTAGTTTGGTGTACTTGATGTTTTCATAAGGCTCTCACATTTGGCAGTGACCGCCAGTTGACCCTTTAAGCTATACTAAGTAAGCTTTACCTCTTTGTAAGCGTAGCCAACTTAAGTCTGCGTTGAATAATAAAGTGCTAATCCGTCGACTGACAAGACTCTATCAGACTTTACTGGTCTGGTATTGATTGTATCGGTCTTTGCGGCTCTTGACGCAGGAAAACTTGTCTCTGCAGTGCAAAAAATGCATGCCTGTGACCCCTCCGAGTGTAATCAAGAATCACAATGGCTGGAGGGCCTGTTGATGCTGTTTTCAATTGGACGTGCCTGGGTTAAGGATACTGGGAGGATTTTTTTGGCACTTTTGACAAACTGACATTTTTATAGGTGTGTTTTTAGTTTGTACAAATGAGGAGTTATTCAACAGTAAAAGGAATACAACAGCCTTTTTTTACTCAGGGATAATGCTCTGCTCTGTCACACTCTTCACTCCCATGGCTTTTATTAAAATACTGACATTTATTAATAATGCTAAGAATCTGCTCTGAGCTGCCAGCAGCTTCCAAGTCAAACATTGACTTGGCATGCACTGGTCTACCTTAGCAAGCTCAAGTTCAAGTAAAACTTTGATTTGTGACCAAAGTTGTTCCACACTCCCAAGATTTCCATCAATTTCTTCTAATTTGCACTTCATTGCTTTTGGATTCAGCTGGTTAATTTATTGCTTCCTTGTTCTCCACATAAAACCACACATTCCTCTCCTTATAATTCCTTTTTGCTCTTTTTTTTTTTTAATGACAGATGTGCTAGTACCACTCTGAGCATGTAGGCTGTGAACTCTGAATTACCTCTGGTGTATCCAATTGGCTGATCATGGTGTATGGCCAAATACACGGGGGCCTCATTCAACTAGTGTCATTTTTATTTCTCATTTTCCATTTTTAGTATCATAGCTGTAGCACAAATGTCTGCAGAATTATCAAATTAGCTTTTTTCATGCCGATACTTAAATAAAGGCTGAGTGAAGGACATGAATTAGGGAATAAGCAGGGGGTTTTCTCCAGCAGAAGCAGGTAAGGACATACTGCAAGTATCCCCGTGCTTTGACCGACAGTGAGACAAACCAGTTGGGCAGCTGGCGCTTGTGTCTGTGATTTGGAAAGACAGGGGCAGAAGAAGCAAGTGAAATAGGGGAAGAGAAAGGGGGGAGGTGTGGGCGAGAGGGAGGCAGGGCAGTGGCTCAAGGAGGGGTACTTTGGCTCAGCACCAAAAGTGCATTGTACATTAGAAATGGTCAAACTTTTACAAATATCATCTTCATTTCCTTGAAAGAACAGAGGCCCTAGACTTGCTGTGAATAGAGCTATTGTTGCTGTGGCACCATTTGCTATTCACAGAGATGGTAACATTACCAGTACCAGGCCTGGTGCTTAGGGGAGTTGACTGCTTTACAGGCTTGAATGCAACTAAGAACAATTCAGCCTCACTAAAAGCTGTTAAACTATAATTTATTTGTGTAGAGCACAACAAGAGAGGTCATAGCTCAAGTGAAAATTATTATATGCGATACACTCACCTCTTCTCTGTAATCCCTACTTTTACAGCTGTTTACTTACTATAGTGGCTAGCTAGTCATTTTTGAGCATAATTTTAGACTCTAAAACAGGGGTGTCAAACATAAGGCCCGGGGCCAGAATCGGCACAGCAAAGACTCCAGTCCAGCTCACTGGATGTTTTTGGAAAATTTTAACAAGGGCATAAATTAATGGACTTTAAATTGTATTTTGTATTGTATTGTAGCTTTATTTCAGACATATACAGAAAAAAAACAATATATACACAAGTACACATACTTGCATTTACAAATACGAATATATATGTAAATACACACATGTATGTGCTCAGATAAAACATTAAAATAAAATAAATAAAATAAAACAAAGTCTAAATGACATGAAATGACAATTATTAGGTCTGAAAGGGAGTAGGAAGAAGTATAACATACGTATTAATCCCTACCCCATGCTCAACATTCTATTGAATCCCACTATTCACCTAATTCCCATCATCACTTACCCCACACAATAAACAAGGAGAACATGTATAAACATAGCTACAGTGATAGATATAATTTAGATACAATTTAGCATAGTTATATATACAATGGGTCATCAACTTTATCAGTTTCATATTCTTCCAAAAGCGGTTTTCGAAACATCTTTATAACCTGACTAATGCCTGAACATTGCTGTAGGTCCACAGTAAAACTATTCCACAGTTTTACCCCATAAATAGTAACACAAAAGGTTTTAACCTTTGTCCGTGCTTTAAGAGTCTTCAGATTTAATTTTCCCCTCAATTCATAGTCCCCTTCTCTGTCAAAAAACATCGCCTGTAAATTTCCTGGTAACATATTGTATCTGATTTGTACATAATTTTTGCAGTTTTATATTTTATAAGATCCATAAATTTCAGAATTTTTAATTTCAAGAACATGATGTTAGTATGGTCTCTAAATCCTGCTTTAGTAATCATCCTGATTGCTTTTTTCTGAATTTTACATAGTGGTTGAAGTGAAGTTTTGTATGTATTTCCCCAGATTTCCACACAGTATTCCAAATATGGCAATATAAGTGAACAGTAAAGTACCCGGAGTGATTTGGAAGGCAACAAATGTTTAACTTTACTCAGTACAGAGATGCTTCTTGACAGTTTAGCTTTATGTTTTCATAAGTTTTCCAACTTATCCTACTGATAAAGACCTTCCCCACGGTCATTCATACTACATCAAAGGAATTAAATAATAGGTAAGCAAATAATTTAGTGAAAAAACAGGAACTTGTATCTATCTAGTATAGAATGTTTCCACAATGTATCCACACTAAAATAAATAAGTTTTTTTTTTAACGGGCAATTTCTGTGAATTAACAAAAGCTTTCTGCTTTATAAATAAAGGGCAGTCTTAGTAATTTTACACATTTATTTCTTACAAGTTAATCCCAAAGATTCATGCTGTTGATGTCTTTCATTTACTACATCATCATTTGTTTATGGTGTAGAAAACCTGAGATGTGCTGTTGTAATTGCTCTACTATTTCCTGTATTATAAACGGGATTAAATATGCAGTTAGACTATGTTACAGTGACAAAAAGGAGATTTTTCACTGGTCTGACTCACTTAAGATCAAATTGGCCTGTATGTGATCCACAATATAAAATGAGTTTGGCTTCCCTGCTCTAGAAGCTATATTTGTATTTTTATGCATTTATTTTTTAGGACTAAGTCTGTAATATGTCTCCCTTGCTCTCCTCATGTGTGTACAAAGTGGTTCATTTACACTTGTATGGTATTTTTGTGTTTGGTTTTATTCAGATATTTGGATTTAATTAATTTGAACACTGCACACAGCAGCTGGAGAGGAAATGTTTCAGCCTCATGCAAAAGCTTGTAAAATTCTCAGAACCCAAGTGTATTTTTTTTTTTTTATCAGAAGTCCTCCTGTTAACCATTATTTTCATCTCCATCTGGTGAAAGAAACCAGATTACGCATTTGCATTCGAGAAATTGGGTTACCGTAGAATGTCGACAACAACTTGGCTTAAGTACATGCAAAAACTGCGTCATTGTTTTTCAGCAGTAGCGAGTGAAATGCAAAACGGAGATTTCTTGCTGGCTAAAATATGCAAACAGTTTTTCTGCTTTTTAAAGTGACATTGCGAGGGTAGGCTTGGCAGATGGTGTCATATAGAGTGCAAGCATTTTGTACCCAAAAAGAAACAGGGGGACTTCGATAGACTAACTGACTCACACTCCAGATGTGCTGCTCTTTTGTTGTTGAGTTTATAGAAATTAAATGTAAACAGAGAAAAAATGAACTCATGATATTTCTCAACCTGCGACGGTAACGAGTCTGAAAAAAGTTTTTTTTTTCCGCCTCTTTGCCTTCCTTCTCTCCTCTCTCTGGCCTCACTTTAACTGCCTGCTGAAGTGAACCATGGCTTGGCATTTTTGCAAACTCCTCCCTTGTTCTCCTGCTCGCACCCCCACCCTTCTCTCCTCCCTCGTCCTCCTTCCATTTCTGCAGCCCTGATTCACATACTCGTCTGACAGTGTCTCTGGGCGGCTATAAACCATGTTCACGAAGCCAGTTCTCTGAAAGGAGAGGCCTCTCCTCCTCACTTTCTCTGCGCCTTACCAGGAAAACACTTTCAAAGAACCCACACGAGAAGGGTGGGAGGGAGGTTGAGACAGTAGAAAAAGACAATGGGAAAGTTATGGAGAGGCTGGAAAGGGAGGGAGGCACGGGTCATAGGGTAAGCAAAGGCCACCCTATCCAACTGCAGATACAGAAAACCAGCTGTACTTTCTTTTCTTTGCCGATCATTGTGGCATTCTGCAGCTAGAGAAAATGTTACTGCCGTACAGGAGAACTTCTTTAGGTGCGAAATTGTGTTACTGACGATTATTTATTTTATCTTATCTCATTTTAATTTTCTTTACTTATGCTTTTAGCATGTACAGCACTTTGTGAACTCTGGTTTTATGTTAAAGTGCTTTATAAATAAAGGTGGTATGGTAAAAGCTTCAGTAAATCAAATGTTAATTTATGTATTTTGTAGCATGTATTGATTGACCTTGTTGACTAGTGAAAGCACAGGAAGATAATAAAGTCGTTCAAATTGTGGCAATGTGTTTGTAAATGACTAAAAGAAGTCACTCAAGATGCTGTGGGGAAAATAAAAAACGTGAAAGGATAAAGAAAAGCTGGCGAGCTGTGCCCACTCCACATCGATGGTGGCTGCAAATGGATTGACATAGAAAGTTAAAAAATTTGTGTGCATTTGTAGTCGATTCTGGCAGTTTTTTAAAAAGGTGTTAATAATGATAAATGATTTTGTATCATTGATCTGTTTAATTGTATCTTTATGAATTAACAGCCATATAATAATAATAAATGAGCTTACTAAAGCATTAAATATAATTTTCAGTTTTAGAAACTGTAGCAGTGTGCACTTACAATAAAATTTGACGTAACCCGATGATAGTGTCTCTTTTCTCTTAGTACTCTGTTTGAGGTAGTCTCAGAGTACAAACTTCCAGCTGCCCTTTTGCTTGCTCAGCATGCATTGTAAATATTGCACAGTCATGCTCATTTATTTGTGAAAAACCAAAATTGTGATTGAGATTGAAAATTTTAATAATTGTGCATGCCTATCTGTGCTGTTGCAGTGCACCTGTAAAGGTTATAATCAGCTCGGTAACAAATCTAACTGGCGTTAGCTCATAACTTAGAACGCCATCATCTAAATATGGTAACGTCTAGCTCCAAATAAACAGTGTGATCCTAACATTGAAGCTACAATGCATCACACCCAGGATTGAGTGGTGAGAAGGTGGCTGTGTTCATCTTTTATGCTATGTTTATGTTGCACGAATCAACTCCCAGTGAGCCTACTCTTACGGGTATCACAGAAAGTGTCTTTAGTGCCATTTGTCGTTCTTCCCAGTAATGCCTGGAGGCCAGTAAAACCAGACTGAGCACTGAGAGCAGATCACCTCCATTTGTTGAGTTTCAGGGGCTCACTACTACACGTGTAGCTTTGAAATATGTTGTGACAGGAGTGGATGGTGTGCCCAGTCATGATGCATTGCCTGTCAACATAGTTGGAGTGCAGTGAAGACATGTAGCAGTGAAACACGACCAGCAACTTACAGTGTTACCCACCATCTGTGAGCCAGACACCAACTGGCCCTGTCACCACTGCACATAATACACGCATTCATGGTATCACTTGCCATGGTTCAAAATGCGAGCAAAAATCTATCCCAAAGTTGTTGTTTTTTTGTTTTTTTCATTTTAGCCTCAAATATTAAGTGCATTTGGAGGGCAATCAAACCTTTTATAGGAATGGAAACACTTAAGTTAGGCTTCGATACCGACCAAAGGCCAGTGTTTATCTGGGGTTTGACATTTACTAATGTTGGGAAACTCAGACGGGTAGAGTTAGTGTTTCGACGGCTAATTGAAACCAGCAGTTTTACTTTATTGAAACCAATAAGCAAGGATGAAGCAGTTCAGCCTTTTCTACTTGTCGGTTGATAGCGATAGTAGGTGTAGTTGCAAAGTCAACAACGCTCTTCTGACCCCATGACCACAGAGCTCCAAATCTCTTCTAGCATTAAGATCAGCACAAGAACTGTGCACTGGGAACTTCGCGGTCGTGTGGGTGGCCCAGTGCTTTTGTCCATGTTGTGTTTAATGTAAATGGTTCTAAAATAACATTTGTTTGTTTTTTAAATAATGAATGCTTTTTTTTTTCTTTTCTTTTTTTTATGAAGCTTATCACATATTATTGTTGCTGTTGCACTTGAAAGCCACACCCTAACTTAAGACATTAACCTGAGACCAGCATGAAGTGTGTTTTTGCATGAGTGTTAGGCTAAAGCAAGGAAATTCCAGAGGTTTAATTCGACCTGGGAATTCATGCTGTACACGGAAAAATCTCAGCTTCTGACACAGAGGTCTGAGAGGGAGAGCGCAGCACAGCCAGCTACATATTACATAAGCACACTGATCGAGAAGATATCCAGCAAATATTTTGCTTCACATAGCTTTGCTTTCTCCAGCCTACTCTTGCCTGTCTTAGGCTTACCTCGGACTGAGCGAGCGAGTCAGTGCAAACATACAAATACTGGATTTGCAACACTGAGCTGACCTTCAAATTGTCAGCTTTGTGTATAGAAAGGTGGTTACATTACACACAACACTGTTTTTGGGTTTCTTCTCACTTGCACACATCGCCCGACTGTAAACCAGATAAAAATTTTAAAAAAAAATAAAAAAGAGCGAGCTCGATGAGAGGGGGACAAGGCTGCAATCCAAAATGGCCAACAAGTATAAAGAAGACGAAGAGCTGTCGGTGCCTGCGAGAGAGCTGGAGACACCGCTAGGCAGAGTTTCCACGTTTAAGCCGACATGGTGGCACAGAGCGCGAAAGAAACAGCGAGAAAGGGGGGAAAAAACAAGAAAGGGAATAGTCGAATAAAAACTTAAATTAAAGAGGCCTAAAGGGGGTTAAAACAAAAAGGAGCAAGAGAAAAAAAATCCACTAACAGGAGAGCAAATGAGAGAGAGCGAGTGAGACTAAGAGACATGGAGGAGCGGGAGAGAGAGCAAGGAATGTGCTGACGCGGCGTTTCTTGTCTGAACTCCCCAAATTAATAATCAGCAGTGGTTTAGCCGAGCCGTGCCAGGAACAGGAGCCTACTGCCAAGCCCCGGCCAGGCCAGGCCCTCCCTGCTCCCAGACCCCCCTCCACTACCCCTCCTTAAAAAAAGAAAGAAAGAGAAGGGGGAGGAAAAAAAGAGAGACCCAGCTCACAGGCCTGTTCTGGGGCCGAATAAGAGGCGCTGCCTGCCTGTTCTAGCTGGGCCGAGCCTGGCACACTGCCACAGGGCTTTTGCTTGTTCAGGAGTTTTGATTAAATCCTTTATTGTGCTCCACTCACGCAAAGAGCTAAGGCGAAACACTGAGCAGGACGGAGTGAAGGGGAGGAGAGAGAACGAGAGCGGAGAAAAGAAAAGGGAGTAAAAAGAGGGGGAGGGAGGGAAATGGGATCTCCCTTTTTTTTTTTTTTTTTTTCTCCCTCTAGCTTTCTCCTTTCCTCTTTCTCTCCAACTGAAAAGATGTTTGATTTAGTCTGTGGGGAATTGTTAAGTAGATAAAGTTTTTTTTCTTTTCTCGATGCCTCTTTTTTTTCTGGTGACCTTTTTTACTTTCACTCCTGCATGAAATCCCCTTTCTTCCTTTAGTACAGTCAGTAAATTGTTCTGCAGTTATTGTCATATCCCATCATTCAGATTTGAGGAGGACAATGTGTCCCAGCCTTTGACATTTCTGTCCATTAATTATTTATAAGAAGTGTTTTGTTTTGTTTATTAGATACTGTGCAAACAAATGCAAAATAAATAAATCCCACGGGGCTTTTGAAAATGGCTGAGCTTGTGAAATAAATATCCATTATGTTTTATTGTGTTCCTCATAAGTTTTGTACATATTATGAACATATTTCGTGCTCTGCTTCTCTAAGTGCTCGTACTTAACAGCGGGGTTTGTCAATGTAGCAGTGTGACTGAGATTTGTGCTGTTGTTTCAGCTGTTCCTGTGCCGGACCTGAGCGAGCAGTTCACACCACCAGAGACGGCTCCCCCGGCCCTCGTCGGCCTCATACAAGCCATAGAAAAGAGAGGTATATTCATACAAACCAGCCAAGATATTCATCTGTTGTCTGTCACGCTGCCTCTGCTGTCTTTTCATCTACGTGCGACTGTCTCCCTCTCGCCATCTGCTTCTTGCTTTCATGCCAGCGTTTGCACATGTGCAGACATGCAGACAGTCGCACAGAGGTACAAGTGCTCTCACAAGCTCATGCGCATTCACATTCAGTACATATAAGTTCAGTGTGGTTTAACTGAGAGCAGACCCGCTAAGAGTCCTGCGCAGTGGGTTTGATTCACACAGTGTTATTAACAAATAGAGCTCGGTGGGACTCCATTCACAGTTTTGCCTTTTTTTTTTTTTCTCTCTCTCTTCCTTCTAACTTTCTGTGTCATTCACACCAATTCACAAACTCTTTCATGTACAGAATGTTAAAAAGTTGTGAAAAACTGCTTCACGGCTTCTTACGGCTTTTTGTTGTCCAAGACGAGGCGTTTAGCCTCATGCAAGACAAAGAAAAGCTAAATTGTGACGGCGGAGATGCAGGAACAAATCAGAGAGTTTGTCTGTGAATTGAGTTACATAGTGTTGGATAATGAGACAGCTGCATTTAATTTACTCAACATTTATGTGTATGCTTGGAAAAAAATCCAGTATATCAAGTAAACCGAAATACATAATATACAATTTTATACAGAAATACTGGGATGCATGCACTGACTTGAGAGCAAAAAGGCTAATTAAAAGTCAAACAATATTTATTTTCTTGGCTAGATAAATAAAAGAAAACATACTTGTCTCACATGTAATTTTAAACAGTGTATCCACACACACACAATACGATCAGTACTAAGCTTCGTTGTATCATATTTACTCTTATAAGTGGGCTTGTTCTGTTTTTAAAAAGTATCAGAGTATAGAGCAGAGTATATTTTATACCTAGTCTAATATGTTTACAATATGAATATATCCTTTGCGAGTTATTATCACTAACAAAAAATATGAATTAAATTTTTTTTTCATCATCAGAGCAAGAAAAACACAAAATCCTGGGGGAGAGCAAGAGTTTCTACTCGCAGGGAACTACAATAAGCTGTTTGTCCAAAAATAAATTTTATTTTGGCAAAAATGAGTTGAACTGAAACGTGATGATTAGTGCTGAGAGTGAAATAGATGAGATGACCACAGTTTGGAAAGAAAAAAAGTCTCTGAATCCCCAAAATTAAAAAGCAATGGATAACTTGAAAATTCAAGTCCACCACTGCAAACGTGTGAGTCCTTCTTCGGTCTTTAAGATGTTGCTTTTGAACTTTGTGGGCCGGTCACATTCTCTCTGTCACGTATTTACAGACATTCAGCTAGTAATGACACACATTATCATTATTATTTGTAATTATTGTTCTTGTTGTTGTTACTTCTAGATTTCATAGTTACATTGCGCTGCCTTTGCCCTCTTTTTCCATTTCCAGCTTGTTGCACTGCGTTAAATTATCTAGTGCAAGTCCACAGCCATAGAGTCAGAAAACAATCTGTCACTACTTCTGTTTTCCATCTAAATGTGTCCTCTTTGCTTCTTCGTTCCTTCTGAACACATTTACTAAAATTGCTCTTTCTGTCTGTCTCAGGTCTGGATTGCAAGACGTTGTACAGGACACCTAGCTCCTCAGGTTCAGATAGTCCGGTGTACAGCCTGTGCTCTGGTGAGTTACATTTGTCATTTATCTGTTTTAGACGTTATTTGATCCTTTTCTTTAACAGAACTTGGGTATATTTGGGATGGTTTCTCAGCCTGCATGCTCTTCAGCAGGTCCAATTCAGTGATTTAAAAAAAAAAAACCAACCCAAAAAAAAAACGAAAAAAAAAAAAGCAAGAAAAAAAAAAAAAAAAAACCAAATGGAAAAAAAACTTTTTCCCCAAAAAAAAAAATCATTTTTTGGTCTCCAGAAGATACAGTTGGTGTTAGGCTTCGGGGTTAGTTTCATAGCTTTGAAGTGGGGAAAAAACACCAAACACTGACATGATATGTTCGCTCTTGTGTACTTTCCTTGATTAAACTGCCTTTTTATTCCTTAAACTTCTCCCTGACGCTTGTTTGAGTTTTTTTTATTCTAACAAACTGCACCTTTTTGGTCTTTTGCTTTATGTATTGATCATCCAGAGAGTGACGTGGTTCAGAGGGATCTAGGTTTCCTGTCTGAGAGCGTCCTGCAGTACCTGAGAGACCTTCCATCACCTGTCATCCCTGCCTGTATCTACCCTCACCTACAAACTGCTCTCATGCAGCAGCATGTCCTACAGCAGTCAGCAGGTACATCAGATCACAGATCGAAAATCTTAAAGTTGCTGCTTGTATTGACTGAGCATTTAGTTTTTCCAACAGGGACAGTGTGTCATCTTTTGTGCATTTTCTTCTCTTTTTACAATAATGTTAACATATTCTGCAGCTGCCTGCTAAGGGGAGTTAAGTTTATGCAGGTGCAGTTTGAAAAGCAACCCTAGGACCCGTTTGAAACAGTCACTGGTGTCTGTGTGATGAATTAGGCGTTTCAAGAGAAAGTCAAGTTTGCACAAGTTGACGTTCAAACGTTGACAGCATGACTTACAACGAGTGTTGCCTTAAGCTTGAAAAAATGAATCTAAAATCCCGGAGTATTCACCGGAAAATCTGCAGCACACACAGTTTGTACTTAATGGGCTTAAACGTGAACAAAAGAGCTGCATTCAGGACCTCATTGTTCCAAATCTTTTTCAATTTCAGCAAAAGAACATAATTAATAAAAGGTGAAACCATCTCACACTGGGGTATATTCTTGTTTGTTTTATTGAAATAGGGCTCACATATAACTATAGGAAAAACATACGCAGAATGACTGATTAAGATGGAGATTTTATGGGGTGTAGACAAAATGGCAGTACAGTGTTATAGAACAGCACAGGCACAAATGAGCTGCCGCCGCCGTTGTTTTTGTGGACAGAAAGGCACCTTTCAGTGCTTCAGTGACTATAATTTAAGCGAAAAAATTGCACAAGGACTAAACTCAGCCTTGTGCACTGCTGTTTGAGTTCACTCTCATGTCAGCATTGAGAGAATGGAAGCAGGAGGGCAAGCTCCCTGAGGCATGTTAGATATGCTTCAGCTGATTCTCCTCCACACAAAGGACTCTCTGATTTCATTTTTGATATATATGTTTGTCCTGTTTTCAGCGACATGAACTAATCACATGCGTTTTAACTACCAAATACAATCAAATGCACTCCTTATATTCTCCTTTTTCAGCCAGCTGTAATAAAGATGCACAACTGAAGCCTAAACAGTTATTCACAACGTTTATGCCTCTCTCAGATGGTGCGGTAGCTGGAAGCCACAACAGAGAAGTCAGCCTGGTGCTTGAGAACTCGACCACCGTCCCTCTCCATCACCGTCTCACCCTGCAGTACCTCCTCACACACCTGGCTAAGGTCACTCAGGCACAGGCCAGCAATGGCCTGGATACAAACACGCTGGGAAAGATCTTTGGCCCCCTGCTTATCTGGACCGGCCCCTCCACTGCTTGGTAAGTAGGGGTTTTTTTTACTTTCATGAAACAAATGTGTAACAAATATGTAAATGTGAAATGATGATAAAGAGTTAGCAAATCTAAATCTACATGTTGGAAATGTGAACTGTTGAATGGCAGGTTTCCAATGGATGATGAGTTCCCCACCTTGGTGGTGGAGAAACTGCTGATAGAGAGAACTACAGGTCAAGACCTCACTCCTCCAGGTAAGTTATGTTGTTTTAACACTGCTTGGATCCATTCCTTTATTATAAAATACTGCTGAAGGAGGTGTGGGTTTCTGATGCGTTTGTGTCTGTTTGCAGTTCTCCCAGCGAAGCCTGTGAAGTCAAAAATGACACCATCAGCCATGACAGACACGAGCAGCCTGCTGAATGATGCAGAGTGGTACTGGGGCGAAATATCCAGGCAAGTTTTGAGCTCGTAATATTGATTTTGTTTGATGTATTGTTTAAAGAAATGTCTGATTAAATGGACACTTGTGACAGATCCATAAAGATTTCTATGTTATTGAAAATACTTAAAATTAGTGAAATCATGTTAGTATTTTGCTCTTAAATAAGATCCAATGCCTCTTTTTCTTAAAGAGCAACACACCTTTAATGTTTCAAATGTTTTACTTACTTTTGTGCTAAGTTTTTAGATGCAAGTTAATTTGTGTTTGGTCTATTATTTCTTTGTTGTAATGATGCTTCTTGGCAATAAATATTACACCATTGGAAACTTGTTTATTTTCTTAAATGGTGCCACGTTCATAATGAAAATACATTTGTGGGTCAAGCAGCAGAGCAGCATGTGGCAGACTTGCTAAATCTTCTCTGCCAATGGCAAACGGCTTATTCTGCTACTGACTCTTGTTTGAGGTTGTCTAGAAGAAAGCGCTGAAGAAACAAATTGGTAATTTAAGAATTTATTGATTTAACAAACGGGGTGCTCAGTATCATGTGGAAGACCCATACACAGCCACAGCTGCCTGGCACCCCTTCCTCTTGCTGCTCACCAGCTTGGTCACACACTGCTGCAGAATGACGTCGCACAGCAGTCGTGGCTTTGTGTAATTCGCATTGTTACAACAAAGAAATAGTCGCCCATAGACAAATTAAATTTTTGTGCTCAGTTTATATACAGTCTGCAGCAGCTCCTATAAGCTTATGGTGAAAAGTATCATTTCAGCTGCCGATGTGTCTGCTGATCATCTTTCATTTCAGTAACTAAGCATCCATCTTTTTTTCCTAACCTTATGTTCTTTGTGACTTAGTGTGATATTCTTAGCCTGGGGGAGAACATTTAACAAAAAAGCCAGACTCTCCTTCCACAAGCTTCTTCCAGACTTTGTCATACCTTTTCATTTCTTTGCAGTAGTTGCTTAAACCTGTACTTTTGATGACGACAGTATTTAAAGTATCTGTTTTGCAGTGTTAACTTTAAAAACTAGAGTCAATCAAAATCCTGAAAAAAGTGGGACATCTGATCAGCCAAGAAAATAATGACCACTGGGGGGTGCTGCAACACACAAAACCAAGTTCCTGCTTGGCCTCCTCGTTGCTTCTAGCAGCTATCTAAATATGCTGCTATATTTGCAGAGAGGAGGTGAATGAGAAAATGCGAGACACTCCAGACGGCACCTTTCTGGTCCGAGATGCTTCAAGTAAATTGGAGGGCGAGTACACTCTTACACTCAGGTGAAGTAACAGCTGTTCTTCAATACTCACTTCAGATTTAGTATAGCCATAGGAAAATGATATATAGTAGAAACAAACCAGGCCTTTGCTACTTGACGGACAACATGTATTACAGTACATCGTCTTATTTACTACCATGTTCTTTTGGCTCCTGTCTCCGTCTGCAGGAAGGGGGGGAACAACAAGCTTATAAAGATTTATCACAGAGACGCGCGGTATGGTTTCTCAGAGCCTCTGACCTTCCTGTCTGTAGTGGAGCTCATCAATCACTACCGCCACGAGTCACTGGCCCAGTACAACGGCAAGTTGGACACAAAGCTTCTGTATCCCATCTCCAAATACCAGCAGGTGGGTGAAGCTGCACATTACATTAAAATAAATCAGCTGTCATCACAAGATGTGAATCATCCAGCTCATAATTTACCCTCATTCCATTTACAAATTGAGAATGATATTCATTAATAACACGCGAATGTAGTCGGTCTGAATCTTCAGTAAGTGGTAATCTTGCTGTCGTCTGTTTTTCATGTGGTAAAAAATCAGCTGGTGAAGGAGAACAGCATAGAGGAGGTGGGAGAGCAACTGAAGATCTATCATGAGCAGTACCAGGAGAAGAGTCGCGAGTACGACTCTCTGTACGAGGAGTACACACATACCTCGCAGGTTTGAATAGCACACATGCTGACAACCACAAACAAGAGATGTATTTCAGAGTATTATAAATCCTAAACTAGCATAGTGCGTAGTGTTTGTTGATGTGATCCGTAACAATATGCAGTTTATCCTGAAGATAAAATGGAGCTGGATTGAAACGTCTCTCTCTGTCTCAGGAGCTGCAGATGAAACGCACAGCCATTGAAGCCTTCAACGAGACCATCAAGATCTTCGAAGAGCAGTTTGAGACTCAGGAGCGGTACAGCAAAGAGTCTTTGGAGAGATTCCAGCGTGAGGGCAACGAAAAGGAAATACAGAAGTACGTTTGTATGCATAATTCTGTTTTTAGCACAGATGCAAACAAAGCTGCTATATTTAAACAACATTTTGGTGAGTTGAAGGTATAATGTTCGAATTCTTGCAAATTAGAATCCAGAGCAACTCGGAGCGTTTGCAGTCTCGTGTGAAGGAGATCCACGACAGCAAGTGTAAGCTGGAGCAGGACCTGAGAGAGCAGGTGTCTGATAACAGAGAGATTGACAAGAAGATGAACAGCCTCAAGCCAGATCTCATGCAGCTTCGCAAGATCAGGGACCAGTACTTAATGTAAGTAAACTTTTATCCATGCATGAAATTGAACTTTACACATTCATATATTCTGTTTACAGTCGTGAGAACCTTAAATGTCGTGCACAGGAAGTAACCTGTAGGTCAGCATTAATTCTGTTGTCCTCTGGTTTTTCAGATGGTTGACGCAGAAGGGGACGAGGCAGAAGAAGATCAACGAATGGCTGGGTATAAAGAACGATGCTGATGAGTAAGTGACGGCTCCGCAGCTTGTGCTGTCATGAGTGGAGGAGGCTGCACCTCTGACAGTAATGAAGGCAGTAGTTAAGCTCATTGTTCTGTCCGGAGTTTCTTTCCTGCTTGATAGTTTTTGTTCATTGCATCTTCAGCTCTTTCTCACTGGAAGAAGATGAGGGCTCACCCCACCATGACGAGTGTACCTGGTACGTGGGCGACATCAAGCGCACCCAGGCTGAAGAAATGCTGAGAGGCAAATGCGATGGAACCTTTCTCATCCGTGAGAGCCAGTCACAGAAGGGCTCTTACGCCTGCTCCGTAGTGTAAGTTTGTGTTTAACCCTGTGAGGTCTAAAGGCTTTTTCACATCTGTGGTTTGTTTATGCTGGTCCGAATCATTCAAGCTTGTAAACTTGTAGCTTTTCCCCGTGATTTGGTTTGTTTTCACACAGAGAAGAATACAAGTGAACCAAAATGCGTCACTACCAACTACATGAGAATGTTCAGTCTGCTCATTTTTTAAGCTCAAACCTGCATCCTACACCTGGTATAGTTCGATAGAGGTCAGATCACATTCACACCATAAACAAAGCGCACTGGAGTTCATTTGAAACCAAAATCACCTCCTCCGAAGGGTCTCAGTGTTGTTTTGATTCTCCCCCGAGTGCTTTTACTGTGATCTTATCTGCACAAACGAGCAGCACAGTGAGGGAAAATGAACCAGTTCGATTTAAATGGACTAAACAGCACAGGTGTGAAAACATGCAGTTAAAACTTTTTTATTTATAATTGAAAATGTTTGGTTGTACCAAAAAATGTGGCTGGAAATCACTTCTTCTTCTTCACACTTGTTTTCGCCACAAGTTCAAGAAATTATGTGAGAATAATTATTCTGTCACTACTGCAAATACAAGACTAAATTCACTACTGTAGCTCTTTCTGAAGATAAGGGAGTAAGTTAAGAGCAGTACCTCTAAAGGTGAATTATTAACAAATTTGAATTCATGCACAACCCAAAGTGTAAGATTAATCCAGTCTCATAAAACCGAAATGCAGAAATTCAATTCAGATACATTAAGTTATAAAATAAAATTTAAAAGGAGGAATAACTCAAGCAAATTTTCTGCAGACACTGAAGTTAACAGTTACATTACTAGTGGGTTTGTGAAAGACTTTTAAGACTAAGATCACCTCTAAACACGATCTCTCTCCTTGTTTCTAGCGTGGACGGTGACTCCAAACACTGCGTCATCTACAAGACAGTCACGGGGTATGGATTCGCCGAGCCCTACAATCTGTATTCGTCCCTCAAAGACCTGGTGCTTCACTACAAAAATGTCTCCTTGGTCCAACACAACGACCAGCTGAATGTAAATCTAGCCTACCCAGTCCTGGCCCGCTCCCAGAATCAGAACCAGCACCCCAGATGAATTATTCACCAGCAGCATAGGACACCAGCCAGAGTGGGAAAATTAGACATATGCATTGGGGGGGTAAAAAAAAAAAGAACTCTGGACAATGCTTGTTCCTGTGGCAGGTAAAACAGACTCAATTGCCAGGATTTAAAAAAAAAAAAGAAAAAATCATGTATTTTTGGCCAGAAGCTGATGCTAATTTCCCACAGAGTCCAGCAAAGAGCACTCCTTGCTAACAGCATGGCTTCACAATAAGCACACTACTACTGATAACGAAGCACTGTACAGTTAGCCTGGCTGATGCAGTCAGTTAAAAGCTGATGAGAGTGGTGCATTAGCCAGCCACACTGTCCAGTGTCGGTTATGGAAAAAAGTGAGAAATTCATAGGAACATTCATTATTCAGGAAAAAAGACTAAAATACATCAAAGGAAGGCACACACAATGGGGTTTTGTTTTTTTTTTCTAAATCTTTAAAAAGCGGAGAGACCAGATGGTGGGATGATGGTAGAAATTACAGGAGCCACATTTGGTTTTTAGGGTTTGTTGGGGTTTTTTTGCCTTTAATGCGAGATAAATGTCCACAGACAAAGGCCCGATCTGTCATTCCCAGACTGCCTGCAAACTCTCCATAGACAAAAGCCTGAGCTGTCATCCGAGGAAATTACTGGCTTGCCTAAACCAGGCTGCTCGTTTCACACTTAAAGGTGGCTGAGAAAAACAATGGGCTGGGAGTGTAGTCACTGGAGACTGAGGAGGGGAAGGGGGTGAAGAGGGTTGCTGTTTCAGGGTTTTTTTTTAAAAAAGAAAAAGATTGATTCAGTTAAAAGCTTGCTCAAGTGCCATAGTAATAGCTTTGAATGACCACAAGCCTGTGTCACTAGAATAAGGGGGCACGTCGAGGTTACAAACCGAAAGAGAAGGGGGGGGGGAGTAAACGGTTGTCGACATAGACAAAGCTACAGCTTTAAACAAAAACATACATACACATAGGTATATTTTTATGAAATGATCTCTATTTCCAACAGCTTTGGCTTGTTGCTCTCTTTCTCAGTGGGTGTCCTTTTGATCTGACGAGGTACAACGTACAGTGATTGCTGTATAACAGGATAAAAATGCATGGTACATATTTGGTGTATTGTGAATATAGAATTGTTTTTTAATCACAGTACACTAGATGGAGAGGTACATTGATAAATGCAGTTCCACGTGATTCAGGTTTCCTTTTAAAATGGAAATGGTGGAAATACTCCTGCGTCTCTTCGTTTCAGACTTCCTTCTTCATCCTCTGTAATACTGTAGCACCTGTAGCCATTGACTTAAGGCACTGTTAGTGCTCCTCCTATGTGTCTTGTTTCTATATGCTAAAGACACTTGCAGAGCATCGACCTATGTGATTATTGTATCTCGTGTACTGTATTTACTTCATCTCTAGTTAGATTAGACTGTTTCCGTGGTACAGTGTCCTTGCAGATGTTTATTGTTTTGGAGTTTTTTTTGTTTGTTTGTTTTTTATATGCAAATTTACTCACGGTACTTCTCCCTTGCGCTCGACTGTTCATTTCATCACAAGCTTGACTCACAGAGCTGTAGAACATTTATGTACAAAAAGATAAAAGAAAGAAAGAAAGAAAGCAGTAATATAAATCATGTACAGTATATTTCAGACACACATGCAGCCTGTGTATGTGACTTTATACGGTTCCTTCACGGAAGATTTGCTATGCTTTTAGATTCTGTTTAAGGATGCAAATTATCCATCTTAATGTGAGCCAAATGAAGGATGTCTTTTCATGTAGCAAGAATGAAAAAAGAAACAGTCCTTTTTGCCATTTAGCATGACCTTGGCGGTCTAAGAGATTATCTGGTATGTTATGCATGGAGTCCTTCATTTGGGTTGTTGTTTATCTTTTGTTTGTTTGTTTTAACTTCGATTAGTGGTTGAAATTGTGCTTTTTGTAGTGAATATACAGTATTCACTGGCATGTGGTCTTACTATGCACAACACGGTTGTATGCATATATGTTTTAGACTTGGGTTCAGTTCCCTCCCGGTGATGTGGCGATGAATTTCTCCTATTTGTTTCTCCGTGTTGGCTCGAGGTGTAGGTAGTACCGCCTCCGTTCAATGTCACGTTCAAAGCACAGCGGCGTAGATGCAGGGTTACTCAGTTATATTGATGTTCTCAATGAAAATGTGGAGCTGAAAAGAGGCGTCAAATGACGCTGCTTTTAAACTTGATTCATGTAGTTGGTGTTTTTTTTCCCGGATGAACAAATATTAATATGAATCTTTCACATTTTTACATTTAGTAATCTGAGAAAGCCAAAAAGAAGAAAAACTATTTTTGTAGTGGGGTATAGAAGAGTCAGGGGTCATTAACAATAGAAAATGGGGAAAAATGTGTTTTAAAATCTTGGTCTTATTTTGGTTCCTTTTTGTTGAGAGAGAGAAAAATTTAGACGTTCTTCTTAAATGAGATATTCGTCTACTCTGTTGGTGATTAGTTAAAAGTCATCTGAGCTAGACCCAAGCTTCAAACAAACGCAGTGCTTTTCTATTTCTGAAATGTTCAGTTTCAGACATCAGGTAGCAACATTTTTCCCAGACATACAACCCAGTCTTCTGATCAAACCTACCTTGACCTGAAAAGTTTTAATCATTTTGATTTCAGTCAGGACGAATCTATTGTACTGTACTTTGCACAGTTCTTGGCAAGTAAAGGACCCCAAGAATTAAAGTGGAGGTGACAGAGGTGCTTCTGATTAGAGGGCTATTAAAAAAACAAAACAAAAAAAAAACGTACGAGTGAGAAAGATTAGAAGTGCCTTTAGTCGTTGCGATGAGGTGGTCGTCTCCCTGTTTTCATTGGAGCGTTGCTGCATAAGACGATGCCACAACCACAACCACATGTAGTGCCCCACCGTTCACACATTTGTCATTTATCAAAACAAAGGTGTATCTCGCAAACGAGTGTAGTTGTTGTGTGTGATTGTGAGTGTCTGTGTGCGTGTTAGAGCAAATCTGAGCATGTTATAGTTAAGAGAGTGGCAGATAGTAGCTGTGCCTCTTTGGTATTGCATTTATAGTTGTTACATATTCCTTCTTTCTGTAGTGAGGCTTGTACAGTAGCTTGGTGCACCCAGGCTAGCCTACTTCAGTGTTTGGTTTTTTTTGTTTGTTTGTGTGTCTGGTGTGTGTTTGAATAAAACTCAAAAAAGATATAGAAATGTGAACAGTACACATCCGTGGCCCAGACCAGTTGTTTAAAGCTCATTTGGTAAGCTCTCAAGCTAATGCATGCAGCAGTTCTCAGTGTTTTGTATTAAGTTAGTAAACAGATGATCTGATTAAATCATCCACCATTATTCAGTTTGTTGGACCAACACTTTTGTGACTGCACTTTTTTTGTTTTTGTTTCACACACTCAGACTAGTGTGTCGCCCAACCACCGAAAACTAACAGACAATGGTGATGCTGAGTTGTTTATAGTGTTTTTTGTTGATAGTTATTCATTCAGTATATCAGGAATGATTGACATTTTCATTATGATATCAGAGTATACAGTGTACAGTATATGCTTTTGTTGTTTCGCAGTCAACAACTGTCTTGTAAATCTGATGCTTTTGACTGATTGCAATGTTTTCGTTATAGAATTAGTTTTACTATGTGGGCTGTGTAAACTCTGTAGTACTTTTCAAAGCTACTTTAAGGAGAGCTGCTAGCTCATTATGCAATTCTCATCCGCACAGCAGAAGTGTCCAGCTAAACATGAAAAACATAAATCTTCCTTAAAAAAGAACAAGCTTCAGTTCATCCAGGTTTTCACTTATTCCTTGTGGTATTTAAACATGCAAATAATTGCACTCTTTCTACCTTTTTATTTGGTTCTACACTGTGTAAACAAGCGTATTGCACAACACCACAGGTGTTTTCAGTCTCATTGACACAGGTGTATAAAATCAACCAACCAATCAGTGTGCCTTTGCAAACATTTGTGAAAGAATGGGTTGTTCTAAAGAGCTCACTGAATATGGCCATGGTGCCAAAAGAGGATATCACTGTTACAACACAAACAACCTTTGTGAAATTTCTTCCGTCCATGATTTTAGCTGTAAGTGTTTTTATTCCAAAGTTCAAGTGTCAGATCACACAAAGTTACAGAGTCCCATGGAGTGCATACGTCACCGAGACCCTGCTGACTCAGTTACTGTGATGCTCCAAACCTCCACTGGCATTAGCACCAGCACAAACTCAGTGTATTGCAGTTTGCAGTGACTCTATACATTATCCAGAGTACCCACAGCTTTCTTTTTTTAGAAAAGTGATCCTATTTAATGTTCTCTGAGCACTACAAATGAGGTATTTTCAAACCTCCTTAAACCATTTTCCTCCAAAGCATGGGTCAAGAAAACATTACATTGTGGACGAGATATGGAAAAGGTGGCCAACTGTAGCGTTTCCTAACGAATACAATGGAACATTGTTTCCATTCGGGTGAGGACATAGAAGTGAAACTACATGCATGGCTTGATGCCACAAGGAGTCAGTGAAAGCAGTGTCGGGGATTTTCAAGGTGATTTTGTGTAAAGCATTTCTAGGGAAAGTCCTTCTAGTGGAGTCAAACTTTAACCCAGAATTGGTTGGTGTGACACAAGTTAATGAAAAAGGTGGTTCTGCTTCGTTTTGCTCAACTTTTTAGTGTCTGAAAGAAAACTAGAAATGTAGAACTGAACAGCTTCCAGCATCACTTGTTATGATGTACATTTTTGCAGTGTGCTTAAACACTTTGGTACGCCATGTTATTTACACGATTATTGGCTAGAAGCAATGCTAGCTGCAGTGAAATGTGGTCGCACAGTGAGACGGGCGTGAAAAGAGCAGGAGATGAAGACTTTATTGCGCTTTGACATGGAGTTGAAACTCTCAAACTCAAAGCTTTCATCCCGCTTCTCTATTAGATATGCATCTTGGAGCTTCTTGAAAAGGAAAAAAAGCAACAACAAAAAAAACATTTTTCTATATGATACATAATCATTCAAGCAATTAAATATTTTTTCATCATTCTTTGGTACACTGTAAATGATAAACCTTGAAACGGCCTCATACACAAAGCACATCTTTCACTGACTACAAAGAAACACATATTTGTTGTCTATTAAGGTTTGAGGAATGAGAGATACTAGAGAATAAATATTTTCAAATATATACTTAGATATCTATATTTTTGGATGATTTAATTCTGATTTGGTTGGCGCTTGAAACGAATCAGAACGAGGCTTTGATGTGAACACTTTTAGCTCCGTGGCTGCTTTGAAATCGAGCAGTTGTTGAAATGCAGACATATTTACTTACCCGCTGCAGCGAGCTTCATCAGGATCACCAGTTAAAACTTTGTGGTTACAGTCGATCGACATTCATGATTTTTACGCATGATTATCAGGTGTGTTCGGAGGATGAAGCAAGCTCATGTACATGTGTTAATATTTACAGAGCTGAGTCTATATGTTAAATGCAGTCCTGGCTGCTTTGCATTTTATTAAATATTAGTTGTTAGTTGTTTGTTTGTTTGTTTGTTTTCTTGTTTTGTCTTTTGGAAGACAGTTTTTGTTTGTTTTTGATTTTTTTTGTTTGTTTGTTGTTTTTGTGAGTAGAGGCAGTGTTAAAAAGTTGCACCACAAAAGATACACTCGATGCTGCTGCAGAGATCTGGCACAGATTGGACACTGATGCTGTAACAAAGTGATCCATCTTACCACTCGGTCTTACTGCGCCAGATCTCAGTGGCTGCTGAAGGTTTTTTGGGGGTGGCGGGTGGTTATGTGCTTACAGCCAGGAAAGAGGAAAAAAAAGAAGAAGAAAAGAAAATTAAACCTGACGCTGAGGAAGGTACATGACTCAATGGTTCACGATTGCTCCTCTACTTGGAACAATGATGGCATTAAAGTGATCTTTTATGGTGCCTGAATATAATTCTTTCTATTTTGGCTTTTTAAAAAAGCTGATAGATTTGTCTGTCCAAGTGTTCTTTGTTTTGTTTGTTTATATCTTTAATGATAACCTTACAGAGCCTATAAAGAAAAAATAAGCTAGCTTGAATTTTTTTTCTCTATACAGAAAACACAAATACAAATGTTTACAATATGTAATTAACCAAATAGTAAATATGCGTTTGAGAATCAGTCTGTCCCTCAAAGCGGCTGTGATAGATTGATTTGTATTTCTTTATTTCTTCTGTCATTTTAAACTTGAAAATGTTATGACTGCTTGTTCTCTTCCCCCCACATTTCACTTTGTTCCTTTTTTCTTTTTTTTTAAATTTCCTGTGAACAGTGCTCCCTCTATTGCAAAATAGTTACTCGGCAATGTAGTTGAACTATTTGTGTGTCAGTCTTTCTTTACCTGCTGATTTCTTCACCTTACACTGAGCCTTGTATGTGCTGAATCCTAACTTGAGACCCTGTTGCATCTTTTGCTGTTTCTGTCCTGCACAGTTTGGTGAATTCGAATATGAATCTGACTGATGTATCTGCGGTAAAGGATTCAAAGAATTTCATATTGTGTATTAGTAAAAAAAAACAAAAAAAGAGGAAAAACAAAAGCGCCACTTGGTAAAAATACTTGAGTACAGATTAGTACATAAGCGAAGATTAGAATTCAGGAATGACTATCTAAAGGCATCCTATTGTTGTTTTTTTGCACTACGCAGCAAATGATAGTCGAATAAAAAGCTGAAACGATTGCTCTTTTGGTTAGTTAAGTAGTTTTTAAGACCAAAATTCAGCCAATATAGTCGCAGCTTGTTCCGCCTGTGTGTTATTTCACTTAAAAAAATCTTATCATTCTCTTTTTATCTATATATGCTAAGAGCAGCACTTTCATTTCCCTTTATGTTTTTTAAATCTTCTCACATTGTCACTCCTCCGTGTGGAAAGTTGGCATTTGTTTGATTAACCTGATGTGAATGTTGTAGTATCGTTCACTGGTGTACAGTAGTTTATATTGCGTCACACTCTTCATGTTGGAGGCAACATTGACGGTGGTCCATGTTGCAACAGGCTGGGCAGTGTTACACAGCAGCAACAATTTAAGAGGCATCAACACATCTTTACCCTCATCAGAGCACACATTGCATTGCAGCGTTGCCCACCGAGTTGCCTCTTGAATCACCGGCTTCAGCAGACATACAGCTAAAAATTATAGTTAGTAAAGATGTTCCGTCTCTCTCACTCAAAAACAGTGAAGAGATGGACCGTCAGATAAAGCTACTCTACACCAAAGTGCAATTGAAGGCAGAGG